AAAGTCATATGTGATTGTAATGACGTACATGCTACCTCCATTAGACGTTGGGTTAATTGACCCACAAATGTCTCAGTGCATGAGATCCAACCTTTTAGTTACTTTCCATTATACATGTTTTGGAATTCCATCCATATGTTGTTTTCCATTCACACAATTTGAGCGAATATCATTAAGCTCATTCAATGCAGAAAAACATTCACAGGCACATATGAATTACAACTAGTGCAAAAATCACAAGCATTCTATTGAAGAACATTTGTGTGCAATTGATCAATCTTTTTTCTTCGTGAAACACTTTTTAGGTGTCATTGTGAAACACAATGGTCATCTTCTTTTGTAGTAGTTAGCTTAAGCTCAAGAGATTGTTTCTCAATCCTGGATTGTTATACGCACGATAGTTATGATCTAAATATTTCCTCCTATTCACAACTTCATGTTTCCTTCCCCATGAGAGACATCTTTGAATTACCTAAGAGTTTCACTGAATTTATTACCTCCATTCTTTGTTTACAGATAAGGGCAATGCTATGAAATTCATCAATAGATATGAAAGTCACATCATTGGATTATTTTGTGAAGCACTAGACATAGTCAAATCTTACAATCATAAATCTCAAGATCTTTTCAACAATTAAGACTCAAACTATCTTAAGTGTTGTTTGTTGTGCAAGAACATTAGACACAAATGCACGGTTTCGATCATGTGAGTTCACAAGGTAAGGATTGGGTCGGTTCGTTGTTTTCCATTCCAAATAAGATAAATTGCCTATCATGGGTTACATGGAAGAAAATGTTCATCATCTAAGGTTTGGTTCAAGTTGGAAAGTCTACTCATGTAGATTACTTTAAGGTGAAGTTACTTGAAAAATATTAGGATATTCAAGATCAATATTCCTAATGAACATGAAGTGCAAGGCCTAATTCAAGATTTCTTCATCCAACTTTGTTTCAAATTCTATGTTCAAATGGAATTCAAAAGATCACAAGTTCATAATTCAAGACTTCATCCCTTTCAAATTCAATGGCATAAGGGAGATACATCATTCTAAATTCAAGATTCATGAATTCAAGATTAGGTTCAAGAATATTACAAAGGAAAATTTCATGACATTGCAAGAATGTCACATTTGTTACAAAGTTTCTAACTCTAAATAATACTTAGAAAATTAATCTATTTCTAATCTTAATTCAAGTTTCTAATCAACTTCATGCTATGGTACTCTTCATGTCCCATCAAGTCCACATGTTCCTCATTATGCCTACAAACATCCAAGGAAAATAATTAAGATTCGACTTAACATTGGAAAATTTCAAGATCAAGATTATGCATGCTTAGTCATGGGCAATTTTAATGTGATCTAAAACAGTCCCATGCAAGAAGTGACAAATTACCTCATAACCAAAAAAATCATGTCACAAAACCAAAGGAATGAACCCATAGTGATGCATCTAAATATCAGAATTTTGAAATGCTGTCAAAGGTAGAAACTTGGACCACAAGGGCAGTCCAAGCACAAGCAAACAAATGGGTTCATATTTGGGAACAAGACAAAATGCAACAGCAAAAATACAGCAAAGCAGAATTCATGGAAATGGAAAGAATTGGGCTTGACATCAAGAAAGTGATGAGAAGCGTATCCCAATGAAAAGATTCTGCAGCAAACAAGTGAAAAGAACCCTATTGTTTGACTATAAGGAAGGGAGCAGCAGTAGGTAAAGGGGGGGGGGGGGGGGGAGAGAAACATTGAGAACATTCATTAAGAAAAAAAAGAGATTTGAGAAAGAAGAGAAAAAAAAAACATTAAGAGAACAAGAGAGTGATAGAAAACCAGAAAAGGAAGTGAATCATAGAGCACATCCAACAAAAGCGATTGGTGATTAGAAGGAGAATAGTAGCTCTTGGGTATCTTTTCTTTCAAACCCTTCTCTCTTTACATATTTGCATGCTTTTATTTTCTCTCTTAAATGATATTTGTGTTGTGCATATTGTAATGAGGTCTCAAAGTTTGGTTTATGTTGTAAAAGAAGCAAAAGAAAAGAAAGAACATAGATTGATTATTGGATTGAAATGAGTTGAAAAATACTCATTTTTACTGTCATGTTCGCACTGCGAAGATTTCTTCGCCTAGCGAACACGACTTTGTGGTACTCAAGGTGCTACTAGACAACCAGTTTTCCCTTATTTTAGCTAGCGAGTTGTTCGCTGGCACCTTCACACAACAAACTTTACCCCCTTTTGCCTCTGTTTGTGAATACTGCGTGTTCGCTAGGAAGTTCGCACAACGAACTTCTTGTTGTTTTTTCTGAGCAGCTTCGCTGCAGGGTTCGCACAGTGAATTTCAGTGCCTTTTGCCTCTGTTTGTGAATAGTGTACTGATCTGAAAAATCCTAAGAAGTTCGCACAATGAACTTTCCATAGTTTTTAAAATTTTTTTTTCAAGAAGTTCGCCGTGCAAACTTCTTGATGCATTTCATGCTGTTTTTTTTTCATGTCTTGTTTTTATTCGTATTTTCAAGCCGATTAACCCGATGTGACTGTACGACCATTGTATGTGGATATTATTACGGTCATTTTTGACTTTTTGGTTCCAAAAACTATTTTCAAAAATAAACTCTCGATTTTATCGAGCCATTTTCAACCTTGTAAGTCGATTGCCTTGTGCGTCGCCATCGACCTTATTCGCATCACTTCAAATATTTTTACAAGCAATAAAACCCTTGATCTAACACCAAGTGGTATTTTTCTCATAAAAAAAAAACAATAAAGATACAATTGGGGTTATACGCCATGAGCTTTAAAGTGGTGGAGAAGAAATGAGAATGAAACCCCTCATACACTCGTTCCAAATGTTTTGAATACAAGGCGCTCGACTTGGTTATTCGAAACATTCATCTCTATCTAAAGTCTTTAGTGTGATCCTAATCAAAAATAATTTCTTCTCAAAAACCTAAAAATAACATCAACTCATCAAACTTCTTTTCGCCTTAGGGCATCAATCCGAAAACCCTTTTTTAAGGTATAAAATCAACCAACATACAATCATTTCACAAGCCTTCGAACTACGGAGCTCTGATTCTTCACTTCTTTTAAGTGAGGATACGTAGGCACAAGGGTCACAATCCTTGGCGAGCACCCTAATTAAAAACCAACCCTTTTTCCCTTAAGCAAGCAAACTTTTAAATTAAAACACTCATTCAAGCTAAACAACTTAGAAGGTTCCCATCGAGTACGATGGATGCAAGGGGGTGCTAATACCTTCCCCTCGCATAACCGACTCCCGAACCCTAAAACTTGGTTGCAATGACCATGCTTTCCCTAAAGGTTTTATCGTTATTTCCCTTTCCCTCCTTGGAATAAATAAAATCCGGTGGCGACTCTGTGTCATTTTTTTCGTAGCGACAGTAATTATGAATAATTTTATAAAATTGTTACATTTGTTTATTATTTTTCTTAAATATGTGTAACAATCTAATTTTGTTTTTGTTTTATTTGTCACATAAAGAGTATCATGGACATGAGTTCCTTGTTATTGAATGAAGAAATTATTATTTTTCACAAGAATGAAAAAGATTTTGAAATTTACCATGTTCCACAGGGACATGGATCTTGCTGGACTAAAAGTATTAATTAAGGGAATTGTTTATCCCATCCTAAGTGGTGGAAAAACAACATAAGATAATTAAAAAATGTCCCTCATACTTTAAAATTATTGTTTCGGGTGCACCCTTTTCACACCAAAACATATCTTAAAGTGAATCTCACCCCATTCCCCCCCCCCCCCCCCCCCCTCAAATTTAGTCAGGAGTCACACTTCCAGATTTACGGTATATGCACCCCATGTATTTCTAAATAAGTCATATTCATTTTGAGATAAATTGACCCGAAGATGCATCTCTGAATTCATCCTAGACAAAATACAGAGATGCATTTCCATATTCACATAAGACAATAATTTTTAACTTTATTTTAGTGATACACTGATGTAATTGACGATGTATTATAGCTATACTTTAGTATTAAGTTTTATATAAATTAAACTATACATTTATCAAATAATACGAAAATGACATATATAAGGGAAAAAATCCGAAATACATAATGAAGCAAAAATGAATTACAAACGATAATAGTGCTCATAATACAAATACTATATACTACTGCGTATGCTGGAACCACCCCCTATTCTTACGTTGCCTCTTGTACTATAGTGCCGATTATGCCTCCTCCAAGATGACATCTAGAATGTACCTCACATCAGAGCCTTCCGAAAAGACTTCTCTGTCTACACCCAACTTTCCAAGCTCCACGATACGTCAACATCTAGACAACACATCAACAACATGATTTGTCTTAGCCTCCTCCTCCTCTAGTATCTCATAATGAGCTGACCTAGGTGGATCTCCTAAAGCATCCAGTGTCATATAAGGATGTGACACCCTGAAATACCATTGGATTCAATCGTATGCACTATTTAGCACTCCTATCATTAGTAGTCAGAGTACTTCGTACCTCATCCGGTACCAGATGATTAAGGAAATCATCATACATGACATCTATATCTCTGTGTTCCATGAATGCAGAAGGATGTGGCATATTCTCAGTGTAGGTTGGAACATATGACCAGACAAATATGCGTGGAAAGTGCTGGAGGATCTAAGCCTAAAAATGGTACATATGAATATTAGTATTGGTGTAACACAAGTGTTATGAAAATGACTCACAAACACTAAAAGATGCAAATATATTACCAGCAACAGGGTGCAACTGTCTGTCATCTATTTGGTCTTTCATATGTAACCTTCAACTAACTTAGAGTACAGGTAGACCAAACAAGCAGTCCCCAATTATATTCACAGATTTGCTCCAAGTCAACGAAGTATCTGAGGTAAACCACATCCACATAAGTGGAACTCTTGTCCATAAAATGGACGTGCCAACCAGATACAACATGTATCCTCTCAACGCGTATGCTCTATGCTACATAACCTGCTCATAATCACCACCAACATGCTCTACCACATGCAACTGTTGTGCTTACAACCTCACAAGCATCCCCTAGGTCAACTTCCATATAAGTCATCGTCATCTTCATTGCCTTATCTTTATTATTCCTAGAATGGTCTAACATTTGTCCCCTGATTAGAAGATGCAACAAGCATGAGACATTATCTAGTGTGATGGACATCTCCCCATATGGAAGATGAAAAGATAACGTCTCCAAGTGCCATCTCTCTACAAACGCAAACAACATGCCATGGTTAATCATAACATAACTGGTCATGCATAAGTATCACAACCTAGATAGCATCACATCCTGAAACCACTGCTCAAAAGGTTGTGACTGACTCATAATCTTTCGGCCATGATTGGTGCATTTTAAAGCATCACGGTTCTGCTAAAAAATAAATCAACATCAGAAACCTTAAATATTATAACAAAAGTGTTTCAAATAATGATTACAATTGAATTTTACCTCTTCTTCCAACACATGACCGACAACATGGTCCAGGTATAGAGGCAACAACGATAAGTCGAACGGGTGTCTCAACATGTACCAGTGGTGCTTCCGGGGCATCAGGAGGTAACACCTTCCTCTTATTGGAAGATGAAGGTGGTACGAGCCCCATAAGTTAATGCCTTCATATAAATCGATCTACCAGTGCCTACGATGATGGAACTCTTTCCCTCCAAACCGATGCATCTTGTGAAACTATGTTGTACCTTAATCTATCTTGTTTAATATCCATAATGCATATAATTAAACCACAAGTGAATTATACATATGAAACATAATGAAATGAAGGCAAACAATGCAGATAGAAAAAATCCGTAAATGCTTCTCCGAATTCTGGAAATCAAAACATTGAAAAAAACTGGATATGCGTTTTTGGATATTTCTGCAACTCATAACAACGAAAATGGCATAAATTCCTTTGAAAAAAACATCCAAAAACATGCATTGATCATTTAAACTACTTATCAAACACAATTCTCAGTTAAATAACATATCCTCACTACCTATTACACAACCTAATGCTGAATTTCTACAAATGTATATAGAAATAAAAAAATAGAGAAATAAAAACTTACTAAATGTGAGTTTGATGTTGATCTCTTTGATAGATTGGATGTTGATGGTAGCAACTTGGACGTGAGTTGAATAAGTTTGAGAGCTTGTGAGTTGAGAGAGTTTGAGAGTTAAGAGGTTTTGAGAGTTTGGAGAGTTAGAGTTTGAGAATTGAGAAGTGGGGAAGGAGAAGTAACTTTGATACATATTTGATAAAATTGCATCCGGAGATGCATCTCTGTAAGTTATACGAAGATGTATTTTTGTATTTTTTTTGGACATAATCTTAGAGCGTGGCTAAAAATGAATGTGAATGGGATGCGTCCAAAGATGTATTTTTAGATTTTTGGGGTGGTTTTGGTTTTTCACTAGGGTGGGAAAGTAATGTTTAGGGTAGAAAAAACAATTCACTTAATTATTCTAATCCACTTTCTAGGAAAATGATGACCCATAATTGGGCAACTCATTGGTGAATATAAAGGGCATTAATAACAAGGGGCTACTTTGTACATTCTATGGGGTGCCTGCGCAACCTAGTGAAAAATAAAAAATGTCTCTTAAATTTGGAAATGCATCTCTAGACACACCCAAAATACACAAACCTGAAAATTTCCTAAGTGATCCACCTCCATTTTGCCAAAAATATAGTCGGGTGATGCATCACCGTATCAATGTTAGGGTTACTCCGTAAGTGAACTTCCTTAATAACCCTGATTTCAATAGTTAGTTATTTTTACGAAGATGCATCTCCGAACAGGTTTTAATTCATATAACTTGAGTCATACTTCCCCATTCCTTCTTATTCATTTGTTAAACTTTCAACATACAAAAAGAGCTCATGAGAAAATTAAAACTTGGTCATTTTTCAAGTTAGAACACTACTTCTACCTCATCACATTCAATCCCAGGACATACACTTTACTACATTCAAGCCTTCTCAACTACTCACATTTGGTAAGTTTCTTCTCACTTCCCTTTTTTGAGATGTGATACATGCATTAGTTGATAGGTTGTTTAAGGTACACTGGGATGTAATTACATTTGTAATTGGAAGTTTATCGAAACACACATTCACATTTTTTGAAGATTAAGTCATAGGGCATGTTGGATTTTTGCGTTTCCTACCATTTTTGCATTTTTGGTTTTATCGAAATGCATCTTTAGGATATTCCAGTATTTAATTTTACCAAATTACAGAGATGCACTTCCGTAATTTCTATGCACTCATAGAACTGTTTGTTTTGACATATCTGTTATATGGGGTTGACTTGTTTGACTATGATACAATTTCCTATTTTTGTTTTAGGTACAATGGCTGAAAATTAGGACATATCGAGTCACGACCGAGTGGCCCAACATGCATCGGTTCGCAGGTAGAGGGCCAAGCCCTTACGACCACCAATTGGTGCGATTTCATTTGACGCTGAAGAGTCGACATTGCGAGCTCACGTGTCTCCAATGTCGTCTTCTAGGAGGCACATTCCCCCTGCTGCACCTAAGGCCCCTGAAGCCCTTGAAACCTATTAAACCCTTGAACCCCAACAGGAGGAACCTACTGTTGTTTCTCTCGTTCCTGATAGTTTTCCAGGAGGCCCCTATGATACCTCCTTACTTACTTCCTATGTAGACCATGCTACTAGAGATGTCTGGGAGGGAGAGGTAGCATAATATTTAATTAATTTTTCATGACATCTATTTTATACTAATTGAATAAAGTAATATTATTGTATTTGTTTACATTTCTGTTACACTGCAAAAGGAAAAAACCATGACATGAATATTTTGAATGTGCCATATCATAAAGAGGCATGGCTTCAGGATGTATTTCATTTTTCTGGGCTGGAGCATTTATGCGTGACTGGGTATAAGACCATTAACCATGGTATGTTGGTAGATTTTATGTAAAGATGACACTCAGAGATGTCATACTTTCATATTTTGGTTGGTGAGATGTCCATCACCCTTGATGATGTCTCATGCCTCCTACATCTTCTAATCAGAGGAAAATTACTAAAGCATTCCAGAATCTCTAGACTTGAGGCATTGGACATGACGGTGACCTATTTGGGAGATGACATATGTGAAGCCCAAATAAAGATTGATGCCACGAAAGGCATTCATGCTAGATTTTGATATCTGGAGAAGTTGCACAAATACCACATGGTTGTGGTTGTGGTTGTCGAAGGTGATTATGAACAAGTATTGTACCACGTATAATTTCCATTGAATTTATACCTCATCTAATTGGTTGGCATGACCATATTTGTGGATAAAAGTGCAACCTATGTCAATGTAGTATACCTGACATACTTCAATGACTTATAACGGATCCACGAGTACTACTAGAGGGTCGTGTGTTTGTTTTCTAATAGAACAAACACTAATACCTTAATTGAGTCGGTCAAGATCAAATCTGTTTATCAAAGTGCTTCTCCGATTGCTCAAGACATCTCTTTTCAACTGAGAAAGAAAACAAGATCATTTCGTTCCATTTTTAGTAGAATAGTTAAGGATATTCCATTAGTAATGAAAAAAGGGGTTGAGGGGATCCATATATGTTGTTCAGGTCGATCAGAAGGCGCAAAAATAGCTTGAACTGAATGTGGAAAGTATGGAAAAACATCTCCTAATGTATTTAACCAGAAAATCGATTATGCTTCTGCGTAAGTATCTACTCGTTACAGAATCTCAGGTGTCAAAGTGTGGATTTCATATAGTAAAAAAAAAGGGACGTGAGGCCCTCTAGAGACCTTCCTAGTTAGTCAATTAAGGCTTCCCACCAGGGAGGTCTGATCTTCTTAAAACGATACAAAGGAAAGATTCGACAGGGATTTGAGCTTGCTTTTCTGATTCTACAGGCAAGCGGAAAGGTCAAGTGGGTTTTGTTATATACACAATGTCATGGATGGATTTAATAATGGAAGGGAAGGGCTTATGAACCGGGAAGTTACCCCTTGGTAGGGGGCATCAACATAACTCTTTTTGGGTAGAGAATACACCGTCACTGATGACTTTCCTGCTTGACTTCCCGCTACGCCCCTTAGCCATCTCTTTTCTTTAGCATCCTAGAAAACACTCCTTATCCTTAGGCCGAGAGAAGGCATTGGTATGCATTCTTTCTTTTGCCTGCAAGGGAATAAGAAATATGCTTTTTCGACCTTATTTTTTTTTGCATTTAGTGGATGTGTGACTTTACTATGCTTAAGGCATGGAATTTATTTACCAACTTTCGTCTTGGTTTATCTGCACTTAAAGCTAGGTAAAAATTATCTTTGGAAGACAAGACATGTGAGAGGGAGCTGCACGTTGCTTATGTTAATGTATTTACATATTTACTATTACTAATATTTCATAACACTTGTGCTACAACGTTACTAATATTTTATCTGAATAATTTTCATGCATGAATCCTCTCTCATTTTTCTCACATATTCGGTTGGGCACTTGATTAAAACTACACCGAGGATTGACCACATGCTTGCTCTTATATCCCGCTCAAAGGTATCTAGGCGATAGAGCCATTTCAAGTGTTTATCAACCGCATTATATCAAATGATATATGCTACTTCTCTCACGACAACCACCGTCAGACACGTCCCTTGGATGACTTATCCTTCTACTATGGATTGTTGGCTTGAGGGTCACGCCTTATGTATCCATATCTGCCTGAGCGGGTCGCTATTTCTAGTTTCTTCAGTTTATTCCAAGACATACTCCAGTGTCTGCTCATTCGACAATCCACTTCAGAGATCTTGATGCCATACTCGATGATTTTTATAATTATATGGTACCAGAGGATGCAGGCAGTGTGCTAGCTCCTGATCCATGGGCTGTTGCATTCGGTTACATCCAATGGTTGTATATGTGTCACATCCTTACATGATACAAAATGTTGTGGGAGCACCACCTATCAGAAAATATTGAAAGAGGAGCAATCTAGGGATGACCACCTCCATGTCGTGTTGCCTGCATGTCGACATATTGTGACGCTTGCGAGAGATGCCATAGAGAGAAGAGATTTTGAGGAAGGCATTTCTGGTATGACCACCGTACATGACATCTTAGCCGAGACACGAAATTCCTTGCAATACAAGAGGCAGAGGAGAAACAAGGGGTTAGATATCCAAAGTAGGTCATTTTATTTGTATTTTGATAACAATTGTATTATTTGTAATTTTTGAACAAATTATGTATCATGGTAATGTTTTCAACTAAATGATTAATATTTGGATTTGTATTATTATTTGAATTTATATATGACATCCTTGAATTACATTAATTATATGGTTTTATGATATCCTTAGTACAAATGACCTAAAACATAAATTGACCTAAAAAATATCAGTTCCAGGACAAATTTATTTTTAGGATTAATGTTTTCTAATTTAAGAATTTTTTTATAGAAATGCATTTTTGAAATATCCATTAAACAACCAAAACTCTCTTCCATAAACTCAAAATGCTTTTAAAAGGTTAATCCAAAAATATAATTACATACTCTGCAATAA